TAAGAGAGCGCGGACGTCTCCTTATGCTTTCTCTCGCCGTACTTTGATGTCATACACCGATCGATCTTCAAGTCAAACACATCTCTTTACTCTCGCGTGTCACGTGACCGAGTGTAATTGCAGCCTCTGCGATTGAAAAATCGTGTTTTCTCATATCGCGATATTATCGCAAATGCAATTAATCGTTCAGCCCTAATTCGCTTCATAAACAAATGTAATCCACTGCGTCTTCAGTGGCTGAGATGTCAGGAGTAAATGGAGACTGCTATATATACAGTATATATATAATTTTATGTCTTACGTAATTTTGCTTTTCAGGTAAAAGAATGATTACATATTTTACTGAAAAAAAACAAAAACAAAACTGTTTACCTGTTTTTATTAATATGCATGTTTATATATCCCTGCTTAAGTGGTGGGCACTAAAATCAACATGGGAAAGAAATGTTGAGGCATATTTATCATTTCTGAATGCTAATTTAATTTAACTGCATGTTACTCAGGTTGAATGTAATTATAAATTACCCTCACAAATCCAACATTCACTGTGTAGGAAATTGATATCAAATGACTTCAGTGATTCAGTAGCAACAAATGATGAATATTTAGCCTCATAAACGTGGCACGGCAGGTGGAAAGCAGTTCTCACTCTCACCAGGGAGTTTTATTTTTTATGCCAGATTTTGAGCATAATTAATATCTCTCTTTCCGCACATTTGGCACGAAGCCCTGGTGTGCTGTAAGCAGAGTTCCACCAGTAAATCATAATGATGGATCTTATGCACACCAGGCCTATAGATTCCACAGATTTACATGCTGGAATTTTCAGAATAATACAAGTCCAGTTGGCTGAAGCGGTGAATGATGTCATGCTAATTAAATTAGTACAATCCAATAAAGAAGATCTTTTCAAGCCATATAATGGTTCATATTCAGGTGCGATCACTGATTGATTGTGACCAGTCTGTCATTTTGCAAAACTCCCACTGTGACCCAAATTCTTTTTCCAGATATTTCATTACATTTGAGATCATGATTTGAAATCATACTGACCTATTCTGCATTATGTCGGAATTTATTTGTCATGACACTCCTGACCGACCTTTCTTTCACCCTAAAAACTTGACAGGACATTTTTAAACTAGAGTCATCAAACTGGATAGAGCCAACTAATATCAGACCGTAGAATACAAAAGGCAGAATGTTCTCACTACTCTAAAAATCACAGTAAATGTAGTCAAACTCAAATGAGAATGTTGAGTCGCAGTTGTCAAATGAGATGGTGGTCAAGGTTTTCAGTCAAAAACCAACTCAACAGGGGCCATCACCATTAAAGGACTAGTTAACCAAAAATGAATAGTTACTAAAAAGTGTACTCATCCTCAGACTATTCAAGATGTAGATGAGTTTGTTTCTTTATTGGAACAGATTTGGAAAAATTTAGCACTTGCTCAGCAATGGATCCTCTGCAGTGAATGGGTGCCGTCAGACTGAGAGTCCAAACAGCTGATAAAAACATCACAATAATCCAAACTGTCAATTAATGTCTTGTTAAGGGAAAACGTGCATAATTAAAATGTTTTTAACTTCAAACTGTCACTTTCTGAATCTGGAGAGAATCAAGCAGAAGCGAAAACAGTCCAAAAAGGTCCCAAACAAATATGTGGATGGATTTTGATGTTAGAGACAACAGGAGATGGATCGTTTCACTGGAGGAAATGTTTTTATGGATTATGGACTCGAATTTTGGCCGAAAGCAACGGTTTAATGTAAAAATGCCTTACAAATATTTTTGTTTCACAAGACATGCTTAATTTCTCCAAATCTGTTCCCATGAAGAAGCCAACAAATTAAATTTTCAACAAATTTTCAATTTTGGGTGAACTATTATTTTAAACTTAAAGTTATTTTAATCTGGTTAGTTGCCAAGGCAACTATTTCTTACGTTTAAAATGTACATCTAATATTGTTTTAATTTTAAGCTTTATTTTAGCTAGCAAAAATGATTTTTAGTAGTTTTAGTTAACTATAAGAACACTAAGTACTTAAATTACTAAAACTGAAATAAAAATAAATTAAAGCTAAATAAAAGTATTAAAAAATGACAAGCGCACATAACAAGATTACTAAAACTTAAACTAAAATGAAAACTGAAAATATATAAAAATATAAAACAGCTAATTTGAAATATTAATAAATACTATCATAGTATATAAATAATACCAGAGTAACCCTGTTGTTTAGTAAAAACATTCTACCTCACATCTTATTTTGTGTTTGTGCCATATTGGTTTATACAATGACTAACTGATGTCAGTTTTTATTTTTGTGTGAGCTAAGTCTTAAGTTTTAGCACATAATTTAAAAAATATGAAACTTGCAGTAGCTCTGCTTCTTCTTGGAAGCAATTTGCTTTTCTAGTTAACATTTTTTTTAAATGCCAAATCCTTATCAGTGCAGTCAATAAATCATAAAAAGGTGTTTTTAGCACACTAATGCAGTTCAGTAATGCAAATAAATCCATTTTAATTTCTCAGACATTTGCTGTTTCACAGAGGCTGTTGGTTACAAGCCGGCAACCATTTTATGAAGACAAAGTGAACAAAACGCCTCCAATTTGCAGTCAGTCAGACCGGTGTGCATTTAACGTTAAGAAAACAGAGGAGGCTATAGGAGCGATGCACCCGTCCCATGCATAAATAATGTTTTAGGGTTCGGCAAACTGAAATATTTACTGCACTCTGCATGACAGAAAGCCTATGTGATGAGTCCACACATGTTGATGATGAATTATTAACTCTGCGTGTGTCATCTCAGGTCAGACTTGGGATTTCTGTCCTTGTTTCACCTTTCCTTCTCTCATTCTCAGTTGTCATATGGACATACTTTTACTTGGATACCTGAATTACTCAGCCGTAATGGTGCTTCTCTCTTGTTCTCAAAGAGAATTAAGCTGAGAATTAGTTTCTAGCCGCTGAACTGCATAAATAGAGTTTGGGTCACAGTGATAAACAGGCCATAAAATGTGATGATATAAGAGGATGCACTGTTTGCTGAAAGAAAAGCTTGACGCAGATGGTTCCATCATGTGTGCTTTCCTTTCCCTGTAAAACACAGTTATTCAAAACCTTTAATTGTTCAGCCAGCGTGTGTATAATTGCTTCAGTGCGGTTAATGGAGATGTGCTCAAATTAACGGCATTCTAAAGTTTGGAGTCAGTTTTTTTAAAGAAACTTTTTTACTTTTTTCCCACAAGGATGCATTTAATTGATCAAAACAGACAGTATAAGAACTTTTATAACATTACAAAAGGTTTCTATTTCAAATAAATTCTGTTCTTTTTTTTTAATTAATTTTCTGTTCAATTTTCTATTCATCAAATAATCCTGAGAAAATGCATCACGGATTTCACATAAATATGAAGCAGCAAAAACATTGATAATGATCAGAAATGTTTCCTGAGCAGCAAATCAGCAGAATGATTTCTGAAGGATCATGTGACACTGAAGACTGCAGTAATGATGCTGAAAATGCAGCTTTGATCACAGGAATAAATTACATTTTTAAAATATATTCAAATAGAATACCGCTATTATAAATTGTATTAATATTACTATTTTTACTGTATTTTCATTAAATAAATGCATCCTTGGTGAGCATAAGAGACTTAAAAAAATTAAAAAATTCTATCCAATCCCTTTTTAATAATATAAATGTATTTTATGCCATTTCTAAACAACTTAATGTGTCCTTGCTGAAGAAAAGTATTAATTTCTTAAAAAAAACAAAAAACATACTGACCCCAAAATTTTGAATGGTAGTATATTTTAAAAATTATTTTTCATAAGTTATAAATAAAGAATATTAGTGTATGTTTTTGCAAAAATACTATTTCAGTCCTAAAAATGTCACGTTTAATTCAATGTGATCTATGCCATTTCTTTGTAATAATTTGTAAAATTTTAAAGCAATTTCAGAGTGAAAATTGTTTCAATGTAAATCCTACACCAATATTTTTTCATTATACTGTCAGTGTGTGTGTGTGTTTAGGAAAAGTGTGTTTGTGTGCGCATTTGTTGCAATTGTGTTTTGTTGATGTATGTCAAATCATTGGTATGTGTTTGAAGTAAGTGTTTATTTGGTTAGGTGTGAGTTAGCCAACATGTGTGTGTGTGTATTTTGTGGGCGGTGGTATAAAGTTGATGAGAGAGACCTTTCCCCCCTCGCCTCAGTCTCACTCTTCCACTTACAGTTGTGTTTTTTCAGGCTTCGCACCAGAAGTAAACACTTAGTCCCGGCTTTTGTTGTGCATATGTGTGTGTATGTACGCGTTTGGCTCTCGTTTCTCGTGGTGAAATAGGAAAGCCCTTCCTTCACATTAAACCTAAATGTGAAATCTCAGGGCTTTTGATGTGCCCCTAAGGTTTTCTCATTCAAGCGGTTTTCAAAAGACATCCAATCCACAGGCCTGTGATCTCTAGGGTCAGGAAATGCTTCTAAAGGATTTTTTTATTTTTAACCCCATGTCCCCCTCTTCCCTTCTTAGAAACAAGGGCGTCTATGAGCGGAAATATTCAACTTATAGCTGCTTTTCCTCTGTTCCCACCACAAAGCGCCATTAGTGCTTTCATTGATAAGGCTGAAGAAAAAGGTCTTTGATGAAGACTAGGGGCTGACTATGGCTGTACAAAGCCAACATTTTATTCCAGTGATTAATTTAACCACAGGAATCACACTTAACTAGCACTTCGATGTCAACAAGAGGCCAATGTTTTTGTATTTATACAAGAGAATACTGAGTGGAGCTAGAAAAGGACAGTTTGTCAAGATTAACTTTGATATATACAGTATGTACTTTGTGGTTAGTAAGATTTTTTATGTTTTTGAAAGACGTCTCTTTTGCTCACCAAGGCTGCATTTATTTGATCGCAAATACAGTAAAAACAGTAATATTGTGAAATATTATTTCAATTTAAAGTAAGTGTTAAAATAACCCAGCAGGCACACAATGTCATAAGACGTTGATATTTGGTTACATTTCGTCATTGGGTAACCAAAATTCAATGTCAATTCAACGTTTAATGTCAATGTTAATTTGATGTCCAATACTGACATCAGCTGACATTGATATTTGTTGTTTTTAGGTTGTGTAACCAAAATCCAACGTTAAGTCAAAGTCAAAGTCAAATTGGCGTCAAATACTGACGTCAACCCGATTTTCATTCTCAACCAAAATGCAACGTCTGCCCGACGTCATGTCCAACGTCAACCTGACGTTATATTGACATCCTGTGCCTGCTGGGAAATGTATTTGAATATATTTTAAAATGTAATTTATTCCTGTGATGGTAAAGATGAATTTTCAACAGCCATTACCTCAGTCTTCATTGTTACATCATCAAGTTTTATAGTGTTTTATTCTTATTTTTTCCCCTATCCATATAAAATCTACTCTATATCATCAATTTTTTTTTGTCAAATATCTCAATATAATAAATTTATTAACAAATTCTCAAACCTCTTACCGGTAATATTTAATTAAAAACAGAATTAAACACATCAAAATATATAATTAAAAACAGAAATTCATTTATTTATAATTTTGGGGCATTTTTATCATACTGAACCCAAACCTTTGAATGGTGTTGTGGATGGATGGATGGATGGATGAGTGGATGGCTGGATGGATGGATGGATGGATGGATGAATGAGTGGATGGCTGGATGGATGGATGGATGTATGAGTGGATGGATGGATAGATGGCTGGATGGATGAGTGGATGGATGGCTGGATGGGTGGATGGATGGATGGATGGATGGATGGATGGGTGGATGGATGGCTGGATGGGTGGATGGCTAGATGGCTGGCTGGATGGATGGCTGGATGGATGGGTGGATGGATAGGTGGATGGATGGATAGAGCTGCATGGCTTGATGGATGGACGGATGAATGGAAGGATGAACAAATGGATGGATTGATGGACAATTACTGGGGCATTTTTTATCATACTGACCCCAAACCTTTGAACAGTATTGTGGATGGCTGGATGGATGGATTGATAGACTGATGGATAATTTCTGGGGCATTTTTGTCATACTGATCCCAAAACTTTGATCAGTATTGTGGATGGATGGATGGGTGGGTGAATTGGTTGATGGATAGGTAGTTTTGTATGTGTATGTTAATCATCTGATGGTTTTCCTGTTTCTATGGCAGATGAACTTTGTGAAGGAGCAGTTTGGAGACACTCAGAGGGAATGGGTGCTGCTCGTGTGTATCGGAGCGTCGTCTGGAGTCGGTCGACTGCTGTTTGGGAAGATCGGAGATCTCATACCTGGAGTAAAGAAAATCTACATGCAGGTACAGAAACCCAACAGGAGCTACTCACTGCATGTCAGTTAATCATAATTCCATAGCTGGAGAATTTTCATGCTGTGTCACTATAAATTGGCATGAAAAAATTACAGGATACTCCTGCTGTGGTGAAGTGTCTCGCTTATGGTCACACCGTTGATACATCACAGCAGCCCAATCAATGGCTTCAGTGTTTCTGAAGATCTGTGTGTTCTAAAAGTGGAACAAACTTTGAATAATTTTTTTATCTTTAGTTCTAGATTGACGTAAAAAAAAAAAGTGTTTTTTTTAAATTGATGTCAATATATAATAACTGTTTCCTGAAAGACGGCATGCTGTTTCCTTCATTGCAATGCCGTTTCATTATCCTTTGCAATTTGGTTGCCAGGAAACTTCAGTTGAACATCTGCATAAGTACCTTTTCCATAAAAGACAATATTTGCTTCTAAGGAATTGATTTTCAATGGCATTTTAATGTTTTATGAGAGCGAGTTTTTTTATGAAAAAATAACTTCCACAACATCCAACAACAATAAAAATTGTTTGCCTGACTTGTTTAAAATATGACATAAATATCAACTTTGCAATTGTGCTTTCAAGAGCTTGTTCAACATAGTTTAATTTTCCTATGTGAACTGCATATTTCACAATCTATCAAAATCTAAAATTTTCTATGGTATTTTTATGTGGTTCCCCCTTAAAATTCAGATTCTGTTACCAGTACCATTCAGTTTTTTGTAAATAATTTTCCGAGCATCAGGAAATGGATTACATGGTTGTAAGTCTTAGATGTCAAACTTTGGATGTAGCGCAGCATTAGTCCATGTGCTTAGACGATCTCTGTGTGTCTGTATGTGTAGGTGGCATCGTTCATATTACTGGGTCTGATGTCAATGATGATACCTCAGTGCGCCGTGTTCGAAGGTCTGGTGGTGGTTTTCGTATTGATGGGTCTTTGTGATGGCTGTTTCATCACTATCATGGCCCCCATCGCCTTTGAGTTAGTAGGGCCCATGCAGGCGTCTCAAGCTATCGGCTACCTCCTCGGCCTCATGGCCATACCAATGACAGCGGGACCCCCGATCGCAGGTGAGAAGCTTCATCTTTGCAATAAACCATTTAACATTTGCTTGCTTGGAATGACTAATTTTTAGTTTTGGAACTTTGAACTTTTCCTTTAAATGCAATTTTTAAATTATATTTTATAAGATAAACATAGTATATAAAATACATTTTATATGTATTTTATGTAAAAATGTATTTTTATATGGACTATGAATATATATATA